TAAACCTAATGAATCATACATTTTATTCAATATACTTGAATTTAAACATAATGAATCATACATTTTATTCAATATAATTGAATTTAAACAATTATAGCTGCTTTTCAATCACGTTTTTTTTTACCATGTAGTTTCCAACTCTTCACTATTAAGCCTAGCATTCAGCGTGAACACACATTGTAGCAGTAACGTTTATCTTCAAGGATTAAATTCCAGTTTCAACTAGGAGGCTCAGCGGCAGCTCTGAAGGTCGATAACGCCAAAAATTGGGTTTCGATACCCTCAGTGATCACAGCAAAGCTAGATTACTCATGAACATTATTCTAGTTTAATCCGGTCTGGCTGACAAAACAGCCAAAGAAATTTTATATCAAAATGAGAAACTACTACAGATTAGTTTTATCAGTCTTTACATTATTTGAATAATTTGTCTATAAATATATAAGTAAATACACAGTTCTAATACTGTAAATTATATCAACTGTATATAGGCGATCAAATTAACATTATATAACATTGATTGAAGTTATCATAAAAACCAAAAGTGAGATGTCTATTATGAGATTCTAATCTAAATAAAAATGTCCATCGCCAGTCCTTGTCCGTTTAAGTTAATAACGAATAACAACGATTAGCAATGGATTTTTTTTTAGGTTAGAGTCTCATAATAAACAACTCTGTTTTGGTTTACATATCTTATGATATTAAAATGAAAACCACGTCACGACGTTTACATTATTTATTTTAATAGTCTTTATTATGCATTTGTTCCCAACAAAAATGTGGTATGCTCTCTGGTAAAACCCACTCAGTAATTTCTAATTCGACTTCAGCATATAAACTGGAAGTGGGGGTGGGGTGTAGAATACACAGTAGGTTTAATTACACTAACCAGAAACGAAGAACACTTAGTATCCACGTATTCCAATCCTACCAGCAACATGTTTTGTTTGCCATTCCCAACTCTGGTAATTTTACCCAACAGTCACTGTAGTCGTTTGCAAATTTTAAACAGCGAAAACATTTTTTTTACCGAAACTGTAAGAATTTCTCATAGCATAAGGGTTTTCCCCAGCTTCATATAAAACATACTTCATGAAACCTCTAGCACATTTCTCTCAACAGTACAAGGAACCAACGAGACTTCTGAATGATCTTATATTGCACATAATAGACGGCTTGTTCTCGCGTGTGATTAATCCTTTCTTAGCTCGTGGCACACAGTACCAACTGTATATACATATGTGTACTACACTGCTTCCATGATGAGAAAGCATAGATCAATCAACGCAATAGCAGCACAAGTCTCCTCTCAACAAGCGACAGGAAAATAGATCTGTTTTTTGTGGCCCATTTGGCTGATTAAAAGTTATCAAACTTAATTATTGCACAGTGTCCAGGGAATGTAGTGCACAAAGTGCAATATTTAAATAAGCTGTATGAAATGATATTAAACCTAAGGCATGTGGATACAACGTTTCCAGTTGAAATTCTATGAAATTTTCCAAAAAAAAAGAAAGAAAATGATAATTTAGTCTCGAATACTTAAGCAGTATACAAAAAAAAAATACCCTTGTTTAAGGATAATACCGTGACATGGAACAGTATGTTTACTCAGAAGTCAAAATTAAATTTGTTTATGAATAAAAATTAAGTGTTTGAGTTATAAATTGAAAGTGATAGCTGGTTTGAAGGAGAAGACACTGCTAGGAAAATACTGGCTGGTTATCTAACTTCTTCATCACTCTAGTTCATCTACAAGCCGTATATTTAGAAATATGTTAATGCGTGAAAGCAAATTTACAATCTATTAATATCGTATTGATAAACACAGAGCACTGTACCATAAAAATTACTCTAAAGATTTCAAAGCATTAACAGGTTCATTTCTTCTTAGGGTGGATTTCTTTTCTGAGATACAATTACAGATTTTTTTTTAATCAAACATAACTGTTATTGTATTTGACTCAAAAATGCCCTTTTATAGGATGTAAAGTATTAACAAATAAGGCTGTAACCTTTTTATGGTAACTTAGAAAAAGGATACAACTTCTTTCCGGTGTATTAAGTAAAAAAAGTTAAATTTCTATGTAAGCTAACTGTACTAAGATGTTGTACATAAACATGATGTGTCGAACATGGAATATTAATTCCTCTTATACATATTGCCTAACGTAACGACACATCAGTAACCAAAATATCTCGTACTATTCCTGTCTAGTAAGTAGTTAGAAAGGTTGTAAATTCTGGTCTGCCATTTTTGTATAGGTACTGAACCATGACATTAGACATAGCTAAGTAGGAATAGCGATATAGTGCTAGTTTCTGTATATAAATTGTTGTTTAAGATCTTGTTCTTTTTTGACTGTCCATTGACTGAACATTATGAGCCACATTTTTTCTTGCAAATGTCAATACATTATATCTGATGTTTCTAAGAGAAACATTCTATATCCAGTCTCCAAATCTCTTGGTTCACTTTATAATGCAAATATGTGTTACATCTCTCTGATTATTGGAGTGCTTTTAACTTATGCTGGTTATAATTCTACCTATGAATACCAAGTTCTAAAGTTAAATTTTTTGTGTCGTTACCAGAAATTTGTTATTGCAGAATTTTAAGTTGATCTTGCTTCTTTATTTTCCCATAGCATTCTCAATTTCCTAGTGAGTGTTGCAAAATGTGACCCTGGAACTTATGGCAAAAGAGGTAGTAGTAGGTAAAATGGTACTGAGATTGTAGAATATGGCAAGGTTTTGGAGGAATCCTTTCCTAGACCAGGACTTCTCACCACAAATATTAAGACTCATGTTTACATTCTTAACCCTGATTTGGAACCAGAAGATTGAGTGGAAATAAGAATCTTCCCAAGTTACAGAAACTGCCCAACCAACATCAATCAGTTATAGTTTTACTTGTGAGTAATATATGATGCCCCAATATAGCAGATGTAAAAGGTGTTCTAAGGCCATGTGCGGTCCTTTGTTTTCAGTTTTATGAAACTGCCCAACCAACATCAATCAGTTATAGTTTTACTTGTGAGTAATATATGATGCCCCAATATAGCAGATGTAAAAGGTGTTCTAAGGCCATGTGCGGTCCTTTGTTTTCA